GCTTTTAAAACTGGAGAAATAGAGCAACGGTACCCATGCAGCTATTTGATGGACCACATGCTTTGCATGCAGAAGAAACCAGATCCATCTCCCTGTCTCCAGTTGGGGGGGGGATGTTCAGAAGATGTTTATGATTATGACATATCATGACTTCCTTGTTCAATACAAATTTCATTGATTGGATCCCAGACAGACCCTCTTGAATCCTTTTAGAACAATTAAAATTAAGTCAAGAAGCCCTGCCACCATCACCTCACTTCCATTCTGATTTATTTGAAAAAAGAAGCTGCTCTATATAACCACTTCAGCTAACTGCAAACGTCATTCTATATACAGTCTTACAGTGGCTGCTCATTCGGCAGGCTTAAACTGGTTACTGAATTACTAGATGCCTCAACAGATGTTCAGTAAAGACTGGCTACAATCACACTGCTGCCAGAAATGTAATTCAGAAGTTGGAACATTAATTAATATGGTTTGATTTTGTCCAATTATTATGCAGGTTGGGTTGACCATGAAATGGATTGTTAATATCTCCTACAGCAATCGCTAACTGTTAAAAACACATATGCCCTTTGGGAGTTATTAAAAAAAAATCAAAAAATGGAATTTTTGGTCATGGTTGCTGTCTAAAGAGAGTAATTATGCAGCACTGGAAAGATAAATTTTCACTTGATTTGTAGTGATGGACTGCTGGTGGGTCTTTATCAACATTTTTTTGATAAAATGCAAGGAAGACAAAATTTTATACAGGATTTTTGAGTTCTACCATTTACTGCATATAGGGGTTCCAGGTTTCCTTCCTTCCCTCCTTTTGTTGCTATACTTATCAACTTTGTCGATCTTTGAATGTTGTTATATGTATCTATGGTTTTGTTTTGTTAATTAGTGCAATTAAAAAAACTTGTTACTGAATTTATTTATGTAATATATGCCAACTTGAACCAATGTAAAAGTTTACAATCATAACAAAAACAAACAATGAAGCGCTACAATAATAGTACAAAACAATGTTATACAGATATTCCTTGACTTACAACTGTTCACTTAGTGACCATTTGAAATTTCAACAGCACTGAAAAAAAGTGACTTATGACTGTTGTTCACAATTACAACCTTTCAGCATACCCATGATCATATGATCAAAATTCAGATGATTGACAACTGATTTATATTTAATGACTGTTGCTGTGTCTCAGGGTCATGTGTTCACCTTTTGCAAACTTCTGAGAAGCAAAGACAATGGGGAAGTCAGATTCACCTAACAAGCGTGCTATTAATTTAACAACTTAAGTGATTCACTTAACAAATGTGGGAAGAAAAGTTATAAATGGGACAAACTCACTTAACAAATTTCTCAATAACATCAATTTTGGGCTCAATTGTGGTTTTAAATTGACAGGTAGACCTCAATTTATGACCACAGTTGAGGCTAGAAACTGGGAGACCATAAATTGTAGTCCCATCTTAGGCACTAAGCCAAAATCCAATTCTTGTCAAGAAAACTGCAGGGGCCTGTCCAAGTGGTCTCTGAGAATCAGACACAATTGAACAACAGTTAAAAAAAAAAAAAAACCATACAGAGAGAGCACAATCACTTTGTTTTCAAAATTTAAGGTGGGACTGCAACAATCACAAACAGTCCATGTGGGCTGATCTTGGCAGAACTGTAACCGTGTAACTGTTCCTATGCCATAGGAATAAAGGCAAATATTTATGTGAAAAAAATCAGCATTTGAGCCAAATTGTATATTTAGTCTAAGGCCAATGTAGCTTATAGTTTATGCTTATCTGGTATCTGAATTTTTTTCCTATTTAGAACATGGCTATAATCACAATCCCTCCCCTCAAAACAAAGATATTTCAAAACCACATATTTAAAGTTGACAATAGGATTTATTTTAAAAAAATAATTTAATCCAAGCATTAAAAACATAAAGATTCAATATAAAGTTAACACAAATATAAATAAAACTTCAGTTATTTTTTTAAAAAATTAAATGTAAACGTTTGTAATGAACTGGGAGACACCACTTAAAAACTTCCTAGTTCTCTTCACCAAATCATCCTTAAAACTAGAGCAGTGAGCAAAGCCTCTGAAGCAGATCTTAACGCTGGGTTCACATGAATGTGGATGGACCTCATGTTAACTTTTAGTTAGCGTTCAGATCTTGCATACTGTGCAAGCAGATGTTTCCACTTTGAATCCCTAGCTAACAACTCCAGTCAAAGGAACTGGATGCTAGAAAAACAGTGTGCCAGAGACCTTGGGAAGCTACTTTTGTCAAACAGTTTGATTTGGTGTGAGACAGTTTTGTATCCTTTACTACTGGGATAAGATAGCTATGTCTGTTATCTCCTCTTTTGCAAGTCTGTAATATGTCCCTGCTTTACAGCCTGTAATAATATGAAAAATGACGAGAAAAATATCATTAATTAATTTAGAACCACTAGCAAAATAAATAAATAAATAAATCCAGACAATTACAAATGATAACCAAGAGATAACAAAACTGTATTCCTTTACTGATGTTTCATGACCATTTGGATATTTGCAACCCACATCTGGTGATTTCTTGTTTGCTTAAGTGCCACCAAGTCAGCCACACATTTCCTCCATTATGACCTGTCTAACTTGTTCCTGCAATGGTGCGCCAATCACCACTGTAATATTCACTTTGCTGCTCTCCTCCTTATCTTTCCTTCTACCTTTCCCGCATTAGAATCTTTTCCAGACACCTGGGTCTTTGGGTAATATGTCCAAAGTATAATAATTTGAGCCTGGTCATTTGTGCCTTGAGTGAGAATTCTGGGTTGATTTGTTCAATGATCCATTTGTTTGTTTTCCTGGCTGCCTCCTCTCTGGAGTCTTCTCCGACATAGACATTCAAAAGCATCAATATTCTTTCTTCAAAGTCCAACTTTCTCTTCTATTCAGATCTAACGGCTCTAATTAATTGATGCCTCAGCAGGAGCAAGCATAGTACTGTTCTTTAATCAGTTAAGTAGCTTAGAAGTTGTAGCACTAGAAATATGTATGTTTATGGGTTTGTTTGTTTGTACATTTATAAATCTAAATTCAGTGACCATAATCATAGCTTTCAGTGACCATAAATCATTGAATCTCCCTTTGTGGTAATGTTTGCCATGACATGCAAACTGTAGCTTATTCTTCTTACAAGCCGGAGTCAGATGCAAGCTTTTGGCTTCTAATTTATTATTTATTAATTTGGCTTTGTCTGTGTGTCACAATAAACACATATGGGAATCAGACACATGGTCTGTTTACTATTTTTCCTGACAGGAAGAGCTAAGCAACTTATTCATGGGAAGCCAAACTTGTATAACTCGACTTACTATAAGATGCAAAAAAAAATAGGCTTTGGGGCTTTCAGGTAAAACAACACAGCTGCAGAATGCAGAACTTCAACCAATTGATGTGCTACACAACAAATTATTTGTATTAATCTATTCAATGTCTCTTTTTTTTTAAGCCATAATGTAGATAAAATAAATCCATCATTGGGATCAGAGTCTTTTCCTTTGTGAGATATTCATGAGCAATAGAAGACAATTATCCAGTCTGGTGTTCCAAGAATTCATTTCATTAGCCAGCACATCAGGGGGAAAAACTCACATGGTCTTTAAGCTAAACATCAACCAAGCATGCTGAATGCAGCTAATATGTAACTCAGCTGATTCCCTGCTGTCACACACCTCATTGTATCCCCTCCTGAAACAATGGACGGAAACTCAGTTCAGTGCAAATGATCTCGGCTGAACAATGTGTCTCTGGATTAGCTGCCAGCACCAGTGGGTTTGACCGGTTGCTGCTGCCAGTCAGTCTGAGATCTCCATCTCCGGGTTGCTCTGAGTTCAGCTTTGGAAACAGAGGAAGATTAACAGATTAAAAGACCTTTGCATTGTGTAGACAGTCAACTCAATAGGCAAAGTGTTACAGATTTTCTATCATCCTGCAAAGTCCAGGACTTCCTTTTCTGAGCATGTTTAAACATCAAATCCTTGACATGTTCCCTGAATTGCAAAATGTTATACAATCTATGAAGGTAGTATTTTGCAGTCAGTGATTGTTGAATGTGTGTGTGTGTGTGTGTGTGTGCAGCTATATATACTGTATAATGATATATTTGTTATGATTATATTTTCTCTAATAAGATTAGAATAGTCCAGGTACTTTCCCATCCAAGTACTGATCGTAAGGAGACCTTATTGAATTTCATTGCTTGCTTTCAGACAATTTTTAGCACACAAATACTGTTTGTGCTGTTTATGGGGCCAAAGAGTCACTGTTGTAACTTTCTAGTGCAATAGTGACACAGGCAAGATGTAGTAACTTTCAAACACCATATCAAAAAAATTAGTATTGATTTTAATGGTAAATGTTTTTAGGAATGCAGCATGCTAGTCATTTAATAGTACTATTTTCTCCAACATCAGCAAAATGTTGAGGCTGATCGTGAAATTCAGGAATAGGAAGACATCCAAAGGAGAAAGTTTCAGAAAAAGAAGTGACTCAAGTTAGTCTCACATAGATTAGGCAAATGCATATTGATGTCATTAACAATGGCACCACTTCTAAAAAAATTAAATATCTCCATTATTTTATCTTCTGGTTGAAATCAGACTGCCTCCCTGCCTGATTTCATTTAGAAAAAAATGTTACAAAACTTTCTTCTGCAGAATATTTGCAGTTGAAAATGACACTATCAATGTGTGTTCGAAGAGTTAATATGATTATTATTAAAGTGATTACACTTTAATTCATTCTTTTATGAATTTTTTTTCTTTCGTGAAAGTGATTACTCATCATGATTTTATTATTCTGAGGAATTTATTGTGGATTTTTTTTTCCTATATAAGTTACTGGGGTAACATTTTGCCTACATTTTGTAAATTACCAAGAATCTTATGGATTGTGGCAGGAAAAAAAATCAAATGAAATGAATGAATGAGCAAACAAATGAATACAATGGTTGGAATAACATGTATATGTTTTATTGGAACACTGGCAATAACATCTGACAAGTCATAGCTGACTTCAAAAGAAAATGGTTTTAAAGAATTACAAGATTCATTTAAAAAAACAAACAGACAAATGAGGGTAAAATTTAATATTACAATAAAAACTCAACTATTTAGAGTACACGTTAGATTAGGAAAGAAAATGCCACCATGGAAAACAACCAGCTTCAAGGAAGCCTTAAAAGTGTAGAAGATTTCCTTCAGAAATTGTTCAAATGAGAAAAAGAAAATTGAATACACACTCTGGCAAAATATTATTATTTAATAATAAGGCAGGTGAAAAAAATGTATTGAGACATATTTATTTATTTATTTTATTTCTATACCGCCCTTCTCCCGAAGGACTCAGGGCGGTGTACAGCCTAATTAAAAACACAAAGACAGACAAAATTTAAAAATAATTAAAATTATTAAATAATAGGCCCAATTTATAAAACCCCAAATTTAAAATCCTATTTAAAACCAATTAAAATCTTTACATTGATAGCCCAGCCTGGCAGAACAACATGGTTTTGAGGGCACAGCGAAACACACGGAGATCAGAGATTTTACGAATTTCTGGGGGCAGATCATTCCAAAGGGCAGGGGCTCCCACAGGGAAGGCCCTCCCCCTGGGTGTCGCCAGCCGACATAATTTGGCCGATGGCACCCTGAGGAGACCCTCTCTGTGGGAGCGAACTGGCCAGTGGGAGGCTACTGGTGGCAGAAGACGGTCTCGAAGGTATCCAGGTCCAATGCCATGGAGCGCTTTAAAGGTGGTAACCAACACCTTGAATCGCACCCGGAAGACCACTGGGAGCCAGTGCAGCTCACGCAGGAGGGGTGTCCTGTGGGCACAACGAGTTGCGCCCATAACCACCCGCGCGGCCGCATTCTGGACCAGTTGGAGTGGTGCTTTTCAAGGGGAGCCCCATGTAGAGAGCATTGCAGTAGTCCAGTCGGGAGGTAACAAGGGCATGAGTGACTGTGCGCAAGGCGTCGCGGTCCAGAAAGGGCTGCAACTGGCGGATAAGGCGAACCTGATAAAAAGCCCCCCTGGCCACGGCCGTCATATGCTCTTCTAAAGACAGCCGTGCATCCAGGAGGACACCCAGATTGCGGGCCCTCTCTGTGGGGGGTAAAGACTCACCCCCAATAGTCAGCAATGGCACCAGCTGACTATATCGCGACGCCGGGAACCACAGCCACTCGGTCTTGGAGGGGTTGAGTCTGAGCCTATTTCTCCCCATCCAGACCCGCACGGCCTCCAGGCAGCGAGACATCACATCAAGGGCATCGTTGGGGTGGTCTGGGGTGGAGATGTACAGCTGAGTATCATCAGCGTACAGATGGACTCTCACCCCAAAACCACGGATGATCTCACCCAGAGGCTTCACATAAATGTTGAACAGAAGGGGCGAGAGGACCGACCCCTGTGGCACTCCCCATGCAAGGCGCCTCGAAGTCAACCTCTGCCCCCGTCAACACGAACTGCAAAATTCGAATATTGCAAAAAGCAGTAACAGTAGCAGTAATTTATGATTTTTAAAAATATATTAGAAGCAGGAAATTGGCTATGGAGGAAGTTGCACTACAGCTGAACCAACTCTGACATAGATAAAGCAAATAATGACTAATCCATAAAAACAAAATTTAAAAAATAACTATTCATGAAATCTGGATGACATCCACCTAAACCTTCTTAAATTAATTTGAAACTGCTGAACTTCTAACAGAAATATGCAGCTTAGCCATGAAATTGGCACCTTTGTGTGAGAATTGGAAAGTAGCCATTACAATACTGATTTGATTTTTTTAAAAGAAAAAAAGCCAAGGAAGATATATATTTAAAAAAAACAACAGTTCTGTATATTGTATATTCTGATATATTGATGAAAAGCATTATTGATAAAGTTCTGAAATAAATTTGATGAAAAAAATTGTTTTGTTTTGAGAACTGAAGACTTATTTGTCTCACAGAACTTTTTTTTTAAAGAAAGTATAAAAAAACAATATATCTAGTTTGATAAATCTTGTCTGGGATCCAAAATTTTGCTAATACGGCATGTTTAGTATGGCTTTTTAAGTTAGATAACTTAAAAAGATAACACTGTGGTGTGTGTAACCACAGTGTATAAGGCCAATATGTGAATTTAGCTAATTATATTTTTCAGGAAACCATGTCCAAGAAATCATGTCCTGGTATGTATGAACTCATGACCTTTGGACTTTCAAAAAGCCTCTTAATGATGTTTTTGTTCTATATCCTCTTATCTAGTTGTTTCTAGGTTTACACAGGAGTGTTTGGTGAAAGGACATTATAAAAATGTTTTCAGAAAACCAAGCAGGTAATGCCTCCCATATCATGCTAGGCCATAGTTTAAGTGTGGTTCACCAAATAAATCACTAATAATGGGAGTACACTGACACATAAGATGACAATCAGGAAGAAATGGAATTCCCAAGGATATCTTCAATTTTGTAAATTAAATTCTAGAATTAAGAGTGAACAGTGAGGGAGCCAAGATTTCTGATGAGAACAAAGGCAGACTGCCAAAGGCTTTGAAGCTATCTCTTCAAACTGGATGACTGGCATTGCAATTCTGTGCAGATGTACTAAAACTTAAGCCTCATTAAATCCCTCCCATGTAAAAGATTGAAGTTTGTTAAAGTAACAAACAAGGTTTAATGTAATTAAATATAAGGGTATATCAACATAACTCTCATTTTTTATTCTGCTTAACTATTGGAACTGTTTGTTACAATCACTTGAATTGGACTGAGCACATGAGTCAGTTGGAATCCACATTTGGAGACATTCAGACAGCCATCTGCTTACTTGAACTTTGTCTATCTTAATTTGTTATACTGTGGAAGAATTGCCTGGTTCTGCTTGGACATTTATAAATTCTTTCTTGGAGAGAAAGTCATTCTTGTGCCTCAAAAAATGTTATTCTTTAGGAGGGAAATAAAACCTTCCAACCTAGAAGACAGGACTGTCTTTGGGCTGCAAATACAAGTACTGGATCCCTATTTCAATGCCAGAGAATAGCAGTATAGATACCGTCCATCCATCAAGTTGATGAGGTCTTTGCTGACATGTCATCTTCTCTGCTCTACCACAGTACAAGAGAAGATATTGGTCGCTGACATGCTCTTCAGCAATCCTTTGCCATCTTCCCTGGCCTCAAAAATAGGCCAGAACAAACAGGGCGGTTGGGCATTCCTTCCAGAAACATACATTTAAGCAGATTGTTGCTTACCAATTCCATCATTCTTGGGTGAAAATTATTTTCTAGATCCATTTCACTTGAATTTCAAATTTAAGTTTGGAACAAAAACTGCCCTTTTCATCCTGAACTTTTGCTGTGAGAATATTTTGTGTGATTCTGCAGTGCTAGGCTTTCTTCTTACACAATCATTGCTCATCTGTTTTTGAAGATTCTTTGGAAAATCATGGTGCCTAAGTTAAAAAGAAAAAGAAAAATCTTAAATTCATATTCCTCCTGTGATACTGCATAACCTACACAAAGAAAATATTATCATTTTCTTACATTACATTTTCACTCACAAGATCACTTTTAGAAATGGTGTTCTAAATGGTATACATGTTGTAAAGAATAAAGTAACAGCTATGTTACTGTCTAGAATTATGATACTGTTATTATTATATGTATTCCAAATACATGGAATCTATTTCTTTACACTAAACTGGAACTAAATTGGCAAATATTTGAATAACAATAACAATAAAATAATTAAATAAAAATTAAAGAATAATAATCAGTAATAATTTGTAGAGTTATTTCTTAATAGAGCCATGTTACAAACATCTAATTCTTATTGAAAAGCATTTTCACTATTTGAATGATACCAGATTGCTTTTGGGATTCCATGTAGTTTGCACACCTGAATTTGCACTTCCCCGACATTCAACAAAAAACTACATGTTTCAGTTGGAGCAGCTCAAGAAAGACAGCAGATCCCCACCTTTCTTCAGCATATGATTCCCATCAACATTAGCTACTCCACAGTTGCTATGGTATCCAAAAATGAATTGAATTAGAAAGACATCTCTGTGAAAAATAAAAAGGAACCATTCTTTGTCAGAAAATGTTTTTTCCCCTTGGCACAGAATAAGACTATCAGCTGTTTTAACTATTACCCTTGGATAAGTTCTAGGTAGTAAGATTTTTAAAAATTCAATTTTTAAACAGTAATTTTCAATTGTGTGTACTATTATTAGACCCTTCCAAAAATCCCAGTTCATGTAAAATGTGAAGTTAGCTATTAAATATGTAATGCATTCATATTATAACTGATTATTTATCTAATCCAGAATTACTTCAGGAAAATCAAATTTTCTCCTTGCCTGAGACTAGAGGGAAAGTATTTTATATATGACAGTGATATTACCTTTCAAATATTGGCAGTATGAAATGACACTGGTATAAGACATTAAGTAGGTTTTAATCCCAGGAAAGAATCTTCCCTACAGCTATATATCCTGTTGCATTTTTAACTTTTGGTTTAATACCAAATCCATGTTGTTGATATTCTAGGCTATATGCAATGAGTCCAAATATTATTGAAGTCCATCTCTCCTTTGGATCAGAGGTGAAGTAGGCAGATGTTGCTGTTTGATGATGTTAAAGATATGATTGCATTATACGTTTGCAACAGGTAAATGTCTTTTTTTCCCCAGAAGTACTACAGCTACTGGCCTGGTTGCTCAGCCAACAGTAGCCCAAGTCCTGTAGCCCATTTGTTGCCAGATGTCTAGGAACTCCAACACATAGCACTGTCCTTGTTGACCAGTATGATGATTGATCCAGTATAAGTTTCTGTAAATCATGTCTCACCATATTGTTTATGGGAGAGACACTCTTCATCTGGCTCCTCTGATGAGACCTATCCAGTATGGTTGAACCTCTGGCATAGCTCTCTTCTTCAGAGCACTTAACCCCCACAACCATATCAAGTAATGCCTAACTGGTGGTTATTATTTTGGTTCATCACACAGTCGGCTAGATGTTCAGACTGGATTTGGCATTTTTGTCCACTATCGAGTACTTCCCAAGGACTTAGGAAAGGCAGATGTTGTTGTCTGATTCTGATGATATTAAAGGTATTGTCACAGGATGTCAGCTGTTTCAAATAAAGCTACCTTTTGCAATTGACTGATGGTGATTTTGTCAAGGCCAACGGAGTTCAAGTGATGTTCCAGATGTTTGAGGATTATACCCCCAAAGGTGTCTATTAATACTTTATTTGCTTTCTTTTTGTAGTTTGTGATTTTTTCCAACTCTTTCTCTTCTCTTCTGCTGTTTCTAGGTACTACATCCATTATCTAGACTTTTATTGTCTTTTTTATCAACAATTATTAAATCTGGGGTGTTGCATGGCAGATGCTTGAATTTTAAAGGCCCAGAGCACTTTAGCTTCTTCACTTTCTATTACTTTATCTATTTTGTTTGCTTTGTTGGAGGGCTTCTATAGCTGCTCTTTGCAAAGCAGTTGGGCTGCCTGGGGAGGAGATCTTAAAGGGTTGGGCACCATCAGCCCAGAGGCTAGCTACTCTTAGATAGACTGACCTTCCCTAAAGCTAGCTCACTTCTCTGCCATCTGTTTTTTACTCCTTCCAGGCCATGAATTTCTGTTGTAGGTTGTAAAACTCTGTAGCACAGAGTTTACTGATTGTGTTAAGGAGGCTATTAGGTCTATAACTGGTAGGATCATCCTTTCTCCTTTTTTTAATGTATGCAGACAATGATTGCAAACCATTAATTCTAGGGGGTTTGCCTACAGGTGTCTATGCAGGTATAGACTGCATTACTGCCAGAATGGGGGCAGTAATCTGAATGTATGCAAAGTTAAATTCAGGAAACATTTATCATCCCATCAAGTGAATCAAAGGGAGATGGAGCTATTTAATCATATTTTTGTTCATAAAAAGTGTGAATGATAGGAAATAAATAACAGGAAAAAAGGAAAAAGATCATGGTCTAGATGAATTTAGAAGTTATTTACATGAAGTTTTGGTCCTATATAACAGTAATTTGACTTACGTGCAAGGCGTATGTCTCCAGGGGTTTTTTTTCTTTTCTTTTCTTTTTTCTAAACTTAGGTTTCCTTAAGAAAATGGGAGGTTACTTTCCCACATTTCCATTCATAATACCTTTTTTAATGTGGAATGTTAATAATACTGAATGTAAACCATTATGGGAACATCAGGAAGCTATTATTTGCCTCCTATGAAATCCTGGCAAGTGCTTCTCATTTTATTCAACACTCAATTATTTTTCCTACATTAAAAGCAGCGTAAATATTTGGAAAATTTGGGGACAAGGGCTTAAGTTTTATCTGGCTTCCATGAGAAAATTATTCTTTCAGTTAACTCTAATTAAAATTTTGTAAGGTTTTTTTTATTATTATTTTATGTTGCTTTTTACAGAATTTGGGCAAAAAAAGAAGAATCCACGAGTATTAAAGTTTCTTAAAGCTTGTGAGTCATTACCTAAATAATTTGGTTTATCAAAAAAGCTAGTGCAGTAAATGAAAGCATTTGTTGATCCCATAATTTTGATCTAGTATGGTAGCAACCAACAAAACTTATTTAAAAATAGAAAGATTTTGGCAGAATCTAGCTAACAACTAAGGACTATTACTAAGATCAAATCTAATAATAATTTACAAAATTTTTGAAATAATCTATTATAGTGAATCACTAGCTTTAAATTTATAAAAAAAACTTTAGACATGTGTTTTACAATGTCAAAATGCAATTAGTTAATTAAAAATGCTATTTCATGTTTACTGGACATCCCAGAAGAAGTTTAAGAAAGGCTAGCGATCAAACTTTTATGCTGGAAATACAATAAATTGAAGGGTATTTAACACATGATTTGAAACTACACTTTGGTTTTCCCATCCTGACTTAATGTTTGTTTTCTTATAAATAAAATATGGAGAAGAAAATTAATATTTAAGAATATAAATATAAAGTTAAATTGTGTGCCAAAATTTGGAATTTCTCAGTTTAAGAGAATTGGGGTAGAGTAAAGATATTAATGTGTGGCTAGAATGAAGCTACATCCTGGATACAGCTTTCTGGATTGTATTTCCTTTCATATTTTGAATTATGCATTTATAGACTCAGTTAAAAGATTGAGCTACACGATTCAGTACAATCAAAATTTAATCTGTCGTTCACATAATGATTTGTTTTAAAATGATATAGTATAGTATTTTCTGTATACACAATTATATATTTTGTTTTACTTTTATTATTTTTTCCCAATATTTCTACTAATAAATCAATACAAGTTAATAAAAACAGAATCGACTGGATTGTCATTCTGATCCTTTCTATGCCTCAGTCCACTGAGTATACTGTTAGTTATGTTAAAAAAGCAAATAAAACACAGATCCTTCTTGTCATAATTTACCACAGTTTATGCCACTTGCTGAGGCAAGGTATAGCAGAAAGTCGGCCTTCTCAGTTGAAAAACAAAGTTTGGGAGATATGCATCAGAATCTTCTTCTTGAAGCAAGTTTTAGTAGCGCTGCTAAATAAAACCTTATTTTGGGCATTTGCTGAGTAGCCAGATTGTTTTCCTCCTTAAAGTGCACCACTAAATTGCATAGAGACACTCAGTGTAGAGGCAGTTTTAAACATGTAGGGTGGAACTCAAGATCTAGATCCATTTCTTCTATGTAACATAGTTCCTTTTTAACAGTGAAATGTCATAGTTTGGGATGTGGGGATAATTTCTAGTTGGGGACTGAATTGATTAAATTATTAGACTTATCAATCTTTTTCATTTCTGTGTTTAGCCATTGAAAACAGCAGTCAGGATTTTTATTTGCTATTATTTGTGTCATGATGAATCAGGCATAGGGATGAAGGTAGAGGAATAGTTTTTCTATAATGGCATTGCCATGGTTATAATTCCAGGTTTCAGTTTCCTTGGAATGAGTTAATGGAATCTTAATGCAGGAATCTTAATGGAGATTTTTTGTGACATGTTATTTTTTATTTACACCAGGTGTCTTTTGCAATGTGAAGATATTGTGTTATTTATTTGCTGTGGACTCTCTGAGGATCACAGAGGACATGGAATCATATGATAAAATTACCACAGTGAGCAGTGAGCTGGGTTTTGGGAGCCATTTGATGGTTCCCTTTGAGGAAAAGGAGAAAAATCAAAACCCAGTGATTCTGACACTACTTTTTCTGGTGTGCTCTAAGGGACCACATATTCTGGGAAGCATATACATACTCATCACAGCAATATCCCTGTAAGAGTTATCAGCTCCCCAATTTGTTTTCAGATGAGTCTTTGCTCCTAAAGAGCGTTTCAAAACTGAAATACAGTTCTTTGTAATATACTGCAGATGTATATAGCGTTAAAGCAAAGAAAGGACCCCACCATATGCAGCAGATAGTAATGTATAACTCAT